CACCTCAGCCTCCCAAGTAGCTGGGACTACAAGCATGTGCCACCACACTTGGCTAATTCTTTTTAGCAACAAGAGCGAAGCTCTGTCTCAAAAATTTAAATAAATAAATAAATAAAAATAAAGTTTTGCATATAATTTATGAAGCCCATAAGGCCTGTGCTCTTAGAACGTTTCTGGAAGGATACATAGAAATGGTTATTGCAGTAGCCCTGGAGAGAAGGAGGGGAGTTTTCCTTTATTAAATATCCTTTAAACTGAATTTTATAGATAGCACATGTATTATGATTTTAAAGTTGTTAAAACCAGTTATTTTAAAGAAACCTGTTCTAACACTTTGGAGTGATCACAAACTCAAATGCCTTCAGGGGCCAGGGAGATTAAGTGCACTTGGGTTTAGGGAGATGGCAGTGGTGGGAGCGGCAGCTAACTGCAGCTTGCATCCCACATCCAAAGTACTTAAATTCCATACCATAAGAAGCATAGTGTTTGATCAAATCAATGCCCTGCTATTGGCCCCAGGAGGACTATTAATTAGCGACCCCTGCTTAGAGTGATAGTGATAGGTTTTATCTGAAAACCTTTCAGAGGAGTCAATGATTCCTTAGTGAAGTATGCAGAATCTCAGTGTGGGGCTGGGGGGACCACCATGGAAATTACCTGAGAGCTCCAGAAAATATGGTTGGTTCTGCATAATGCAATTTTTACAAAGAATGAGTTATCCATCCAAGCCCCTCTTTTCTTGATGTGTCCAGCTCCTGCCTGGTGGAAGTTCCTAGTCTGATGGAGATTGACAGAGTCTAGTCTTGGAAGGCAGAGCTCATGTCAGGGCAGGCCCTGAAGGGTCTGAGCTGAATTTCCTCCAGTAGAAATTATGGGAAGTCTATATTCCTTGCAGAGTGAAAGTAGAATAAAAAATTCTGAGACAGGCCAGGCATAGCAGCTCACACTTGTATTCCCAGCACTTTGGGAGGCCCAGGCAGGGGGAGCACTTCAGGCCAGGAGTTCAAGACTATCCTGAGCAGCACAGCAAGAGCCCTGTCTCTACAAGAAATAAAAAAATTAGTAGAGCATAGTGGCACATGCCTATAGTCCTAGCTACTCAGGAGGCTGAGATGGGAGGGTCACTTGAGGCCAAGAGTTCAAAACTGGGGAGCTGTGGTCATGCCACTGTACTCTGTCCTGGGCAATGAGAGGAAGAGGATGGGAGAGGAGAAGGAAGGAAGAAAGGTAGGAAGGGAGGGAAGGAGGAAGGGAGGAAGAAAGTGAGTTCCAAGGTGGAAAATCAAGGAGCCTGTTTGGAGACATGAGAGAATTCATGGGATTTGGCTCATAGGAAGAAGTATGGGAAATCAAGTTGAAAAGGCAGGTTCCAGAGGATCAGGTCCTCCCAGCCCTCTAACATGACAAAGCTGAGGAACAATTATTCTTGGTGACCATTTCATTCTTGTGGAGTGAGTGCACTCAGCCCCCCAGAAGTACTGGCAAGGGCTTGGTTGGAACCCCAGTAACCAACCATCTTTTGGAAATAAGAGCTCAGAGTCACAGATAAAATTAGAACTCAAAGGATTTCTCAGCAAGGCAAATTTACTTCTGCAGAAGGGTGTTGCTGATTTTTCTGGTCACTGTAAAAGCATACAAAACAAAGGAGGGAAGGGGTTTTTGTCCCTAATGCGGTCAGTCCCTGTTGCCTGGGGTCTGACCACACACTCTAAGCTGATCCCTATTGGCTACTTCAAACGGAGCAATGGTGGGAAGAACAGTTTCTAAGGGTACCAAGTAAGGAAGAGATGTGGGTTACAGATTGAGAATGGATGTAGATTACAGATTGGGAATGGCTGGAAGGTTGTTTACCATAACGTGGGGCAAGGAGGCAAGGAAATTAGGCTTTGAAAATAGAGGACAAGCAGAACCTTTGAAGAGGAACTCACTGTTTCCAACACGTTGCCCCTGCCCAAGTTCCCATTTTTAGTATATGTGCTGCAAAAGCGAGCACTCCTGCCCAAGTTCCCAACAGGCACATGCTGCCTTGGGGTGCTCCAAGGCCCCTTGGAGGATATGGATTTATCTCAACCCAATTTCTTCCTCCTAAGGGATTAACTGAATTTGAGGGAAGAGAGGAGATCACCAATGCTTGTAAAGGGAATGTATGTTGCTCTATGTTGCTCAAGGTCTCAGAGAAAATTGAGGAGTCACAGAACCTGAATTCCCACCTCTAGATTCTTATTTCAAGGCTCACTCCCCAGCACCGTGCTGCCTCTTGAAGTGTATTTGTCAATCCCAGGTACAGCACAATTACAATTCCCAACACAACCCCCCTCCCATCTGCCCACAAGATGCTAGGCCTTTGGCTAGGTTCTTGTCAAGCTCATTGGGTTCTCAGAACAAGCCTATAAAGTAGGTACTACAATTACTCCCAGTTTCCAGATGAGGAAAGTGAAGCTCCAAGGGGCAAAATGACATTCTTGTGCAAGGCAGAGCTGAGATTCCAAATCAGAGCCATTTGACTGCAGAGGCCATGCATAGCAGATAAAGGAAACCTCACTGCAGCAGGGAGGGACACATACAGCCTTCCAGGCTTGTGGACAGCATTTCCAGAGGCCAAAGGACTGCACAGAGAAAATACTGTGCAAACTAGGTTCTCTCCATAAAGCCCAAAGGAGGCATCCTGCCTTCAGCCAGAGGTACCAGACTCCAGCAGCTGGGGATTTCATCTGATTCCTTTTCTTCCTCCCTCACCTCCACCACCCAAGACTATTCAAGTATAAGCTTTGGCCGGGCGTGGTGGCTCACACCTGTAATCCCAGTACTTTGGGACGCCAAGGTGGGCATATCACGTGAGGTCAGGAGTTCCAGACCAGCCTGGCCAACATGGTGAAACCCCATCTCTACACACATACACACAGAGTTAGCTGGGCATGATGGCAGGTACCTGTAATCCTAGCTACTTGGGAGGCTGAGGCAGGAGAATTCCTGGAACCCAGGACATGGAGGCTGCAGTAAGCCAAGATTGTGCCTTCATGAAAGCAGAGGATTTGAGTCAGTTTTGTTCACTGATAATTTCCAGCCCCTACAAGAGTACCTGTAATGTATAAGGAGCTATTAATGAATAAACATGTTGGATGATGTAGAAGGTGTTTTTTACTATAGGAAGTTTTTTTGGTTTTTCATACAGGGTTTCTGCTCTCTCACCCAGCTTGAAGTGTAATGGTGCGATCTTGGCTCACTGCAGCCTTGACCTCCTGAGCTCAAGTGATCCTCCCATTTCAGCTTCCCGAGTAGCTGGGAATACAGGCATGCGCCATCACACCAGGCTGACTTTTCATTTTATTTTTTATTTTTTGTAGAGACAGGGTCTCACTATGTTGCCCAGGCTGATCCCAAACTCCTGGCCTCAAGAGATCCCACCTGGACCTCCCATGCCTGGGATTACGGGCATGAACCACTGCACCTGGCCAAACTTGGACTATTGCACAAAGCTCCTAAGTTTATTTCCATTAGCTGGGAGATATAACTTGACCCAGTGGGGAAGTGCACTTGCATGACAGTGGCTTGGTGACAGAAGCTTTGAAAATGGTCCTGAATGAGCAGACTGGATAAGGAATACCATTGAGAATCACTTTGTAAAATGATAAACACATTAGTCAAGTAAAACTCTCCCTGAGTGATCAATTTGGATAAGCCAGGACTTTCTTGCTTTGCTCGGAGCAGGATTTGTTCCCTTCCACTCAGTAGATGTTTATGAAGCATTATGTGTGCAAGGCTCTGTGCCACATCTCAGGATCTGAGAAATGGAAGGAAGTGCAGAAAACATCCACTAGTCCCACCGTCCCTGAAGAGCAAGTGGGAGAGCTGAAGCCCAGAAAGAGGTTACTAAGGGAGGCAGGAGGTCCCAGTCCAAGGCCTGCCCCTGGCTCTGTCCCCTTGGCCCTCGTAGGTCTGCAGACTTTCAGAGTCAGCAGCTGGACCAGGCCCAGAATTCTAACAGGCAGAATAACACTTCCTGACTTAACAAAGGTCTGGGCTGGAAAGTGTTCTGCTTCTTGTTTCTGGTAGGGCGTCCCCAGGAATTAAATGACTGCTGGCCATGCACAGTGGCTCATGCCTGAAATCCCAGCACTTTGGGAAGTCAAGGAGGGAGGATCACCTGAGGTCAGGTGTTCGAGACCAGCATGGCCAACATTGCGAAGATCCCTTCTCTACTAAACGTACAAAAAATAGCCAGGTGTGGAGGTGCATGCTTATAATCCCAGCTACTCAGGAAGCTGAGGCATGAAAATCACTTGAACCTCAGAGGTGGAGGTTGCAATGAGCCGAGATCATGCCATTGTACTCCAGCCTGAGTGATAGAGTGAGACTCCATCTCAAAAAAGAAAGAAGGAAAGAAAATGCCGTGGCATTGGGATAAGCCTTGAAGGATGAAGAGAGGACTAAAGGGGCATTCCAGATGAAGGGTCTTCACAAATAAAGGTACAATATGGGGACTATTCGGATGTAGTCTAGAGAGCAGGCAGAACAGGAAGTGGGGACCACTGGAAGGCTGCTGGAGCCATCATGGTGAGAACCACTGAAAATGATGAGCCCTGGGCTTAGCACTTTATATCCTCATGTCAGACCTTGGAGGTAGGTTCCCTTACTACTACCACTTTCTTTCAGATAAGGAAATGGAGGTTCAAGGAGGTGACAAGATCACACAGCTGACTGGTGGTAGAAATAGCACTTAAGCCAGGTCCATCTGATGCCTCCCCCTGACCTCCTTACCACTGGAATGTGAGACTGGCATTAATGAGGCCTTCCCATCTAAGATACCACTGTCCCAGGACAACTGGCCTGGCATGTCACCTCAGACATGTGGGCACTGAGAGGTCAATCTTTGCCTTCAGCATGGAAGCTAGCTTGATCCCGCCTTTTCGAATTGAGCATCTACGAGACTATCAGGACCTCCTTCACCAGAATAGAGGGATGCATGAGGCAAGGAATATGAGGATTGCTGAGGATTTGTCATGCTCCACTGTCCGCTGGTTTTTGTTTATTGTTCTACAGTTGTGTAGGCTGGCTGGTTTCTAGTTCTCCTCTGGTCACACTAGTGTCACTGTGGCCCTGGGGCAGATCTCTTTTCCAGAACTAGGGTGGTTGGTCTTGGGAGACTGGAGTTTTAAAATTGTTCCTGGTATACCCGAAGGTTAAGAACTGGTTGATGGTCATGGATTCCTGTCTCCAGCGGCCGAGCTTTCTGAGCTGTTCTGTCATGAACTTTTTTTTCAGGTGTTCATAGTAGTGACTGATCTTTTTCTTGGTCTTCTCTAAAGCGCTTACCTTACAAAAAACAGAGGTGAGGTTAGGATCAAGATCCTAATAGAGCTGAGGTTAGGATCACTTTACAGCAGGGCAGGCATCTGTGCTGCTGATGTGGGGGTGGGAAAAGTGTCAGCTGGACCCTATATTCATTCCATATACTTTGACTCACAGGGAGCCTATTTCTCTATTTGTAAAAGGTGGGCATTAAGCTAGGTAACTTCAAGGGTGGGCGGAGTGCCTCACACCTGTAATCCCAGAACCTTGGGAGGCTGAGGCAGGTGGCTCACTTGAGGCCAGGAGTTCAAGACCAGCCTGGCCAACATGGTGAAACCCTGTCTCTACTGAAAATACAAAAAAACCTAGCTGGGTGTGGTGACATACGCCTGTAATCCCAGTTACTCAGGAGGCTGAGGCACAAGAATCACTTGAACCCAGGAGGCAGAGGTTGCACTGAGCCGAGATGGTGCCACTGTGCTCCAGCCTGGCCGACAGAGTGAGAGTCTGTCTCAAAAAAGAAAAAAGCTACACAGAGAGGTCAGCTTATAAACTGAGGCTGGGTTTTGAAGGATGGGGAGGTTTGGGGCATATAGAAACAATGTGGAGGATGGTGATCCTGGAAATGTACATTTTTAACAAGCCCTCTAGGGGATTCTGATAAGCACTAACTTTATCTGAAGACCTAGCAGGAGGTTAAGCAAAGGACTTCTTTATAAAGGCCAGTCAACGTTGGGGTCATTACTTGACATGAGAAATTAAAGAGGGAGGGTGGGTACTAAATGACATAGTTCAAGTCTGTGTTCGCCAAACCTGGCTGAGCATCAGAGGTGTTTCAGATGCTTGATACAAACACAGGCCCCAAGGATTCTTGCTTAGTAGGGTTTGGATGTACCTGAGATGTACCTGATCCAGCTGTTATTACCAAGCTGCTATCGCCCAGCCTAGAGAGAGTTCAGTGGCACAATCTCGGTTCATTGCAACCTCCACCACTTGGGTTCAAGCTATTCTTGTGCCTCACGCTTCCAAGTATCTGAGATTACAGGCACAAGCCCCACACCCAGTTAATTTTTATATTTTTAGTAGAGACAGGGTTTCACTATGTTGGCCAGGCTGGTCTCAAACTCCTGACCTCAAGTGAGCCACCGCACCCGACCTTATTACCACCATGTTCTAGTCCACCCTATGACAGCAGGTTTTTTGGCTTCTCTCAACTAGTGATTTTACCTTGAGCATGACTCTTACCAATCAGGGTTTCTCAACCTTGACACTACTGACATTTTGAGCTGGGCAGTTCTGTGTGGTAGAGGGCTGTCCTGTGCACTGTGTGATATTCAGCAGCATACCTGGCCTCTACCTACTAAATGATAATAGCACCACCCCTCTCCCACTTGTAATAATCAAAAATGGCTCCAGGTGTTGCCAATATCCCTTGAGGTGCAAAACCTCTTGAGGACTGCAGCCATAGATGAGAGAATACCAGCCATCATTCACTATTCTCAGAGCATAGTCAGGGGATGCTAGAACCTAGCTATCTTCCTTGAAATCAGTGGCTAGCCAAAGCAGCCTCTTCCCTTAATGTGATCACATTTTTAGAGAGACAGAAACACTGCCACATTGTCACAGAGGCCCTCAAATGCTCTGAGTTCCTACACACTAGCCTCTCTGCTAGTCACCGGGTATATAAACTGGAGAAGCCAGTCTGTGTCCTTAGGGAGAATGTCTTGCATGATGGTCAGCCAGACTGGGGTTTGCAACTCTGCAGTGACTCACTGTGTGATCTTCGCGAAGTTCCTCCATCTCTTTGAGTCTCCGTTTTTGAACTATTAAATGGGGGTGATAATACATAATAGGTGTCAGATACCCAAAACATATAAGGGCTCCATATAGCTTTAAAAAGAAGCTTCTGAGGCCAGGCACGGTGACTCACGCCTGTAATCCTAGCACTTTAAGGGGCTGAGGTGGGCAGATCACCTGAGGTCAGGAGTTTGAGACCAGACGGCTAACATGGTGAAACCGTCTCTACTAAAAATACAAAAATTAGCTGGGCATGGTGGCACAGGTTTGTAGTCCCAGCTACTTGGGAGTCTGAGGCAGAACAGTTGCTTGAACCTGGGAGGTGGAGGTTGTGGTGAGCTGAGATTGTGCCACTGCACTCCAGCCTGGGTGACAGAAAGAGACTCTGTCTCAAATAATAATAATAATAATAGGGGCAGGTGTGGTGGCTCATGCCTGTAATCCCAGCACTTTGGGAGGCCAAGGTGGGTGGATCATGGTTAAGGAGTTAGAGACCAGCCTGGCCAACATGGTGAAACCCCATCTCTACTAAAAATACAAAATTATCCAGGTGTAGGCTGTGGAAAAGGTGCCTGTAATCCCAGCTACTCGGGAGGCTGAGGCAGAGAATCGCTTGAACCTGGGAGGTGAAGTTTGCAGTGAGTTGAAATCGCGCCACTATACTCCAGCCTGGGCAACAAGATGAAATTCTGTCTCAGAAAAGAAAAGAAGAGGGCGGCAGCTCAACTCTGGGTACCCTGCTCTGCTTGAAAAATTGAGTGTGTTCTTGGAGTCTATGTTGTTCGTTTCTTCCTAGTGCCCAACACAGTACCTGTCCCAAGCAGGCCATAAGGACAGGTTTAATGAATTCATCAGTCAGGATCTATGGGAACAGTGGGGTGATAGCACTCAGGCTTTCAAGTAAGCAGGTCAAACTCTACCTGTCCATAAGCAAAAAGTGGGAGAAGAGCCTCAGTTCTCATCTGGAAAATGGGGATAATCCCCGAAAGAAAAAAACTGATAAGATGGTGTTGAGACTCATTCAAACTCTAGGACTGAAGACTTTGTTTTCTTTGTGTTTTTAAAACATTTTTTTTATTTTGAGACAGAGTCTTGCTCTGTTGACCAGGCTGGAGTGCAGTGCCGCAATCTCAGCTTACTGCAACCTCCACTGCCCAGGTTCAAGCAATTCTCATGGCTCAGCCTCTCATATAACTGGGATTACAGGCATGTGCCACCACACCTGGCTAATTTTTGTATTTTAGTACAGACAGGATTTCGCCATGTTGGCCAGGCTGGTCTCGAACTCCATTACCTCACGTGATCCTCCTGCCTCAAACTCCCAAAGTTCTGGGATTAGAGATATAAGCCATTGTGTCCAGCCTGGATCCAAGACTTTGTATGGGAGAAAATAAGAATCCATTCATGGATTCCCTAAATAGAGAGATAATGTGCTTTCAGAAAAAAAAGACCCAAGAGACATGGAATCTTTCTCTCTGGCTCCCTTAGCACAGAAACAGGTGTGACACCTTGGGCAAGTCAGTAACCCCAAGTATCAGTTGCTTCTCTGCAAATGGGGCCTGCCTTGGAGCACCTTGATGATTCCCTATCACCTCTATGATCCCTCTGGATATAGGGAGAATGGAATAAATATGGGTCAAGCTACTAACACCCTCTAATGCAAAAGCTTGTGGCTACTTTACCTCCATCTCATAGATTCGTTGTGCAATGCGGTTATCATGAATAATCACCCGAGATAAATTGCTCTTGGGTAAAAATTTTTTCACTGCTGCTTCACTGGAATTCATTACGCTGGAGTGGGAAGGGAAAGGTGGTACAGGTTACAGATGGCTGGGGCCAGGGCCACAGCAGATTTGTTGGGGTTCTGGGGGGAGTGGCTGAGGCTTCCCCAGGTGTCTTAGGACAAGTGCAGCTCTGCCATAATTTTCAGAGGAGCAAGGGAGTAACCACAGTTTCTTGTTGTGGAAAAGGTACCCTAAAGGGGTATTTCACAGATACACAGAAGAAAAGCCATTCTGAGGATGTAAAAGGGCCCAGTGCAGTCCACAGGGGATGGGTTATCAGAAACTCAGAACCATCATCAGAAGCAGTCATCTTTTTTGTTTGTTTTTTTGAGATGGAGTTTTGCTCTGTCTCCTAAGCTGGAGTGTGGTGGCACAATCTTGGCTCACTGCAACCTCCACCTGTGGTTCAAATGATTCTCCTGCTTCAGCCTCCTGAGTAGCTGGGACTACAGGCACTCATCACCATGCCTGGCTAATTTTTGTATTTTTAGTAGAGATGGGGTTTCACCATGTTGGACAGGCTGGTTTCGAACTCCTGACCTCAAGAGATACACCCACCTAGGCCTCCCAAAGTGCTGGGATTACAGGCATGAGCCACCACCACGCCCACCTGGTCAAAAGCAGTCATTTTGATGATCCTCCTTAAGGATGAAATGGGTGAGAGGGGTGTTAGAGGAGAGGAGTAAAAAGTTGTAGGATAGGATTCAGAAGGATGAATCTGAGAGGTGTTTAGCTTGGGGGGTACTTGCTCTAGAGCATATGCCTCAAGGGGATCTGGGTGGTGGGGGTTGGGGGAGTATAGATCAGAGCAGGGAGAAATGAAAATGAAGAGCTTGGACAGATGCTAGGCTGGTTAACAGGGAAATTCTGAAAGAAAGTTTGGGGAGTTGAGAAAAATGAGGGAGGTATGGAGTGGACGGGTTTTAGGAGACTCTGAAAGGTCAGAGGTGAAAATGGAGTGGGGTGGAGTAGAATGGAGCTGAGTACTCCAGGTGAAAATATAATTTGGTCAAAATGGGAAAACAGTGAAAAGTTAATATACTTCTAGGCACTGAGTTTTCACTATTTGATAATTTGGTTATACCATGAAGTAGTCTTATGAACATATACTTTTAAATGGTTTTGTCCATTTAAAAATAATTTTTCAGGACTGGCATGATGGTTCACATCTGTAATCCCAACACTTGGAGAGGCCGAAGCAGGTGAATCACTTGAGGTCAGGAGTCCCAGACCAGCCTGGCCAGCATGGTGAAAACCCGTCTCTACTAAAAATACAAAAATTAGCTGGGTGTGGTGGTGAACACCTATAATCCCAGCTACTTAGGAGATTGGGGCAGGAGAATTGCTTGAACCCGGGAGGTGGAGTTTGCAGTGAGTATCGTGCCACTGTACTCCAGCCTGGGCAACAGAGCAAGACTTGGTCTTAAAAAAAAATTATTCATATTTTCTTTCTAAAATGTAGAAACAATGTATAATATGGAAACAACTGAATAAATTTTGGTATGTCATAAAATACATGTAATTGTGTACGAAACATAGACACCGGTGGTATATTAGATGGGAGAAGAAAGCAGGTTACTAGAAAGTGAACTTTTTTGTGATGTATTGTTTTTTAAGCATGTTGTTATATATATATATACATATATATGTATGTATATATATGTAAGAATGGATCATGAACAAAATACACCAAAATGTTAACAGTGATTGTCCCTAACCATTCATGCTGCTGGTCTGTCTTATTTTTCTTTCTTTTATTTTTATTTTTTTGAGATGGGGTCTCACTCTGTTGCTCAGGTTGGAGTGCAGTGGCACAATCTCAGCTCACTGCAACCTCCGCCTCCTAGGCTCAAGCGATCCTCCCACCTCAGCCTCCTGAGTAACTGGGATCACCAGCCACCACGCCTGGCTAATTTTTTTTAATTTTTGGTAGAGATAGGGTTTCACCATGTTGCCTAGGCTGGTCTCAAACTCCTGAGCTCAGGCGATCCACCTGCCTCAGCCTCCCAAAGTGGTGGGATTACAGGCATGAGCCACCACACCTGGCCTTATTTATCCATAAGTGTATGCTACTTTTATAATGAGGACAAAAAAGACAACTGTGGAAGGGTAAAATATTTTGAAGGACTAGAATTTTTTTCTAATTCATGCTGGGCGCGGTGGCTCATGCCTGTAATCCCACCACTTATGGAGGCCGAGGTGGGCGAATCACCTAAGGTTGGCAAATCACCTAAGGTCGAGAGTTCGAGACTAGCCTGACCAACATGGAGAAACCCCGTCTCTACTAAAAATACAAAATTAGCCGGGCATGGTGGTGTATGCCTGTAATCCCGGCTACAGGGGAGGCTGAGACAGGAGAATTGCTCGAACCTGGGGGGCGGAGGTTGCGGTGAGCCGAGATCGCGCCATTGTACCCCAGCCTGGGCAACAAAAGCAAAATTGTCTCAAAAAAAATAAAATCCCTAAAACACTAGAAGGGAAAGAGAGCGACAACGACTGGAAATATTCTAAGTAAAAAGGGTTATTTTGAACCTAATTGCTTTCCACCTCAAGTCCTCCATGGACGGGAGCCTGGAGGATGCAGTGAGGGGGTTGTAGAATGGAAAGGAGCGCGGGTAATTGGGGTTTGTGAGGATCGGGGCGAGGCAGAGGGAACTGGGTTTTTTTTCCCCAGGACCTCTGGGGAACACAGAGGCTGAGAAGGAGCTTATGAGATAGGTTCGAGCTTGGGAGGACCTGGGCATCTCCAGGCTCTAAGGAGAGTCAGGGCTCACCCCCTCGGGCACTGCGGCCTCACGAGGTCATGCCAGGGGACTGAAGGGCCGGGACCGACTCTGAGAACATGTGGCCTGGGGATGGGGATTCCAAGTTCTCCAGGGATTCCAGGATGAGGGAGTTTGGGCTCCAGGGAGTCCGAAGAGCTAGACTGAGAAGGAGCTGGGGCCTGGGGCTACGATAAATCGACTCCTCTCGTGTGTGAAAAAGGGTCAGGGTCCGGCTGAGGGGAGCTCGAGTCTGAAAGAGTTCGGGTGCCCTAGCGGGTCGGAAGGTCTGACGAACGCCCTGCGCCTGCGGGCCGCACCTGAAGAGCACCGGCGGCTGCGCAGACCGCGGCCGCGGGAAGGAAATCTGCGGCTGACTCCCGAGGCCGATTTCTTGGCGGCGGCCGAGTCTATCCCGCAGGTGGTTCAAGCCCAAGGTGGCGCCGCAACTGGTGGTCGCCTGGGCGGCGGTCGGGTAAATCTTGGAGGATCCCAGGTCCCAGGAAACTAAGGGCTTAGTCGGCTGTGTGACAGCGGCTTCCCTGTTGGAGAAAGAGTTGGAAACTGGAGGTCGGTTGTCAGCCATGCTCGGTGGGCGCGAGCTGACGCGGAGTGAGTCCCTGGGCGAGGCCCTGAACAAAGCACTGCGCGTTGCCTAGAAGACACATAATGGCCCGGGAGACCCGGATGCCGGGTGTCAGAGACGCGCGCGGAGGCCGGCGGCTACGGACGCGATAAGATTGTCCCTCGGTGGCCGCCGTGGTAATACCAGGTGCGTTGCTGTGGAGACGGACGATGCTGGATGTAGTGGGGTGCGGTGAGCGGAGCTGACGCCGCTTCGCCGCGGGGACTGCAGTGACCCCGGCTTCCTCGCGGGGCGGGTAACGGGTTGAGCCTGGGCGGGGCTGCTCAGGGGCGTGATTTCTCTGAAAACCCGCCACAGGTGATTTCTTTCTGCTGTGAGAGACCATTGCTATGGAAACCAAAGCGCTAGGCCTACGGGGATTGAGGCTCGGCATCATGACTGGTCTCTCTCCCAAAGTTGCTCGCCTTCGCAGAGCGGCTGCTTCCTGAACAAATCCGCCACCCTCCTGCGCGGTCTTGACACCGAGAGGCCTATTCCAAGGCCAGCTCCCCGAAGAAACCTGTTTTGTAAGCAAATCAGTTATGTCATGATTTACTTTTAATAAAAATGGGTACTAGAGAGAAAAATTATGCTTCAAAACAAAACTGTGGTACACTATTGTTAGCTGTCCTTAAGCTTTTCTGCCTTTTGAACTAAATCCTAAATTCTTGGATTCATGGGTTAGAAGTCCCCAAACTAATGCTTTCAAATCTTTGATTTTTTTTTTTTTTTTTTTGTCTTTTTGTTTTTTTCCTTTTTGTGGAGAACGGGGTCTCGCTATATTGCCCAGGCAGGTCTCGAACGCCTGGGCTCAAGCTATCCTCCCGCCTCTGCCTCCCTAAGAGCTGGGATTACAGGCGTGAGCCACAGCGCCCGGCAAATCTTTGATTTTAAAATTGAGAATTGTACTGCTCATCCTAGGACTCATTATTTACCTTATGTTAAGCTGTTCACTTAAACACTATAGTAAAACTATAGATGAGAGTAATAATGTTTTTGCCATGCAAGCCTCGTAAGCATACTCACTGCATGAGTATGCTCAGGCAGTTGCAAAATTGTTCCACTCTTCTTACCTTGGGGCTCGCTCCCATTCCCACTATGTCCCCTTTCAGCAGGAAGAAGCCAGAGCGATGGCCTTTCACCATCTTCATAGCCTACACCTTAAGATTAAGGTGTTATAAAATCCAAAGGGAGAGATTGAAACCAACTTTGCAAAATTATGACTGAGACAGAAAAAGAGATTTAACTTAACTGGCTCTATTTTGTTCTAACCTCCAAGCTGTCCTTGTTCATTCCTGGGTAAGGAAGAACTAACTTACTTTGTGGTTATAGTTTAAAACAAAGATGATAACAGCTCTTTCCCAAAGCAGATCTCCTTCTTGCCTGGGAACTAGATTGCCTTTGTTTTTTTTTTGTTGTTGTTGTTGTTGAGACAGAGTTTTGCTCTTGTTGCCCAGGCTGGAGTACAATGGTGCTATCTCAGCTCACTGTAACCGCCGCCTTCCGGGTTCAAGTGATTCTCCTGCCTCAGCCTCCTGAGTAGCTGGGATTACAGGCATGCGCTACCACACCCAGGGAATTTTTGTATTTTTAGTAGAGATGGGGTTTCTCCATGTCAACCAGGCTAGGCTCGAACTTCTGACCTCAGGTAATCCGCCCCCAAAGTGCTAGTATTACAGGTGTGAGCCACCACACCTGGCCAAGACTAGATTGCCTTTGTTGGACTAATATTGGGCACAAGATTAGAAATTATGGTTTAGGAGTCATGCAGCTGGAAGCTATAAGATTCTGACCCCCCCTAAACTGCTCCTAAGATCAGTGCTTGAGATATTTTGCCGAGCCTGCACTTGGTGGATCAGCTGGCACCACCCAGATCAATAAACTGGCTTATCTGATCTTGTGGCCCCCCCCACCTCTGGTCTTGCACACAGCCGGCTCTGTGTGAATTACTCTTTCTCTATTGCAATTCCCCTGTCTTGATGAATTGACTCTGTCTAGGCAGTGGGCAAGGAAACCCCTTGGACAGTTACAATAGTTGGGACTACAGGCATGTGCCACCACACCCAGCTAACATTTGCATTTTTAGTAGACAGGGTTTCACCATGTGGAAGCTCAACAGGGTCAAGAGGGGGCAGTGGCTCAAACCTGGGCTCCCTGCTCTGCTTGAAAAAATGTATATGTTCTTGGAGCCCATCTTGTTCACTTGTCTCTTCTTAGTACCCAACACTGTACATGTCCCAAGCAAAAAGTGGGAGAAGAGCCTCAGTTCTCATCTGGAAAATGGGAATAATCCTGGAAGGAAGAAACTAACAAGACTATGTTGATGCCGATTCAAACTCTAGGAGCCAAATCTTTGGTGGCTGAGTTTTTTTTTATTTGTTTGTTTTGTTTTGTTTTGTTTTTTGTGACAGAGTCTTGCTGTGTTGCCCAGGCTGTAGTACAGTGGCATGATCTCGGCTCATTGCAATCTCTGCTGCTTGGGTTCAGGCAATTCTTGTAGCTCAGCCTCCCACATAGCTGTGATTACAGGCGTGCACCTCTACACCCGGCTAATTTTTGTATGTCTAATAGAGACTAGGTTTCGCTATGTTGGCCAGGTTGGTCTCGAACTCCTGGCCTCAAGTGATCTGCCTGCCTCAGCCTCCCAAAGTGTTAGAATTACAGCCATGAGCCACTGCACCCAGCCTAAGACCCAAGACTTTGTATGCGAGAAACTGAGAATCCATTCATGGGTTCCCTAAATAGAGAGATAATGTGCTTTCAGAAAAAGAGACCCAAGAGATATGAAGTCTTTCTCTCTGGCTTTCTCAGACACCTTGGGCAAGTCAATAACCCTGAGTATCAATTGCCTCCTCTGTAAATGGGCCTGCCTTAGAGCACCTTGATGACTCCGTATCACCTTTATGATCCCCCAGGATATAGGAAGAATGAAATGAACATGGGTCAAGGCAGTAACACCCTCTAATGCAAAAGCTTGCGGCTATTTTACCCCAATCTCATAGATTTGTTGTGTGCTGAGTTTGTCATGAATAATCACCCAAGGTAAATTCCCCTTGTGTAAAAATTTTTCACTGCTGCTTCACTGGAATTCATTAAGCTGGAGTGGGGAGGGAAAGGTGGTACAGGTTACAGATGGCTGGGACCAGGGCCACAGCAGATTTGTTGGGCTTCTGGGGAGAGTGGCTGAGGCTTCCCCAGGTGTCCTTGGACAAGTGCAGCTCTGCCATAATTTTCAGAGGAACAAGGAAGTGTTTCTTATTGTGGAGAAGATAGGCTAAAGAGATATTTCATGGATATCCAGAAAAGCCATTCTTAGGATGTAAAAGGGCCCCTTGCAGGCCACAAGAGAAGGGTTATCAGAAGTAGTCATCTTTTTTTTTTTTTTTCTCTGAGATGAACTTTGGCTCTTCTCATCCAGGCTGGAATGCAATGGGGTGATCTTGGCTCACTGCAACTTCTCCCTCCTGGGCTCAAGTAATCCTCCCATCTCAGCCTCTTGAGTAGCTGGGACCACAGGTGAACCACCATGCCTAGCTAATTCTTTGTAGTTTTGGTAGAGATCGGGTTTCGCCATGTTGCCCAGCTGTTCTCAAACTCCTGAGCTCAGGCAATCCACCCACCTCAGTCTCCCAAACTGGTGGGATTGCAGGCATGAGCCACCATGCCCGGCCATCCGGCATGCTTGAGTGCTTGACCTACCTTACCTTTTTTTTTTTTTTTAAGACAGAGTCTTGCTCTGTTGCCAGGCTGGAGTGCAGTGGCGCGATTTCACCTCACTGCAACTTCCACCTCCCGGGTTCAAGCGATTATGCTGCCTCAGTCTCCTGAGTAGCTGAGACTACAGGCGTGTGCCACCATTCCCAGCTAATTTTCGTATTTTTACTAGTGACGGAGTTTCACCATGTTGGTCAGGATGGTCTTGATCTCTTGACGGAGTTTCACCACGTTGGTCAGGATGGTCTTGATCTCTTGACCTCGTAATCTGCCCACCTCGGCCTCCCAAAGTGCTGTGATTACAGGCGTGAGCGACCATGTGCGGCCCTACATTGCCTTCTTATGAAAAACTACAGTTAACCCTCAGTTGATGAAGGGAATTCTTTACATAAGAATACTGGCTAGTTTAAAATGCAGAATAATAGATTTAGAAAGTCAGCTTTTTGTAAATATGAAATAATCGATTCTAGCAAGGATCATTAATGGATGCCAAAAACTGTACTTAAAAAATTTATGGGAAACAGAATATTCCCAAAATGTTAAGACATTGCCCCACAGATTATTTGCTAATTTTCAGAAAGAAAAACATACAAGGAGAGCTCTGTCACCACTTTCAGCTAGACATCAAATTTAGTATCACGAACAGTGGTGTAACCTAAGTCTACAGAACACCTGATGTACTGCAGTTTGGCATGTACAGAATCCTGGTTTAAGGCTGATCTAACCATTAGATCCATGAGTCACAACCTTCCCCTCACATCAAAATCAACTCAGGGCATTTTAAAGCTCCCCATTCCCAGGCTGCACCCAGGCTAATTACATTAGAACCTCTGCAGGTGGGATCTAGGCATTTGTGTTTTTTCAAGCTCCCAAAGTGATGTCAAGGTGCAACCAAGATTGAGAAGTACTGGCTTAGAGGAAAATGTTAAAACACGACAAAAGAACATAATCAGATATATTCAGAATATGGGATATTATATAAGATTACTGACTTGGCTTCTTTAAAAAGAAAATTTTATCAAGAATAACAATATCTTTGAACATGTTTCCTAAGAGAAAAAAATAAGAAAATGAAAAAGGAGGAGAAACAAGGAAGGAAAGAAAAGTTAAGAGGGGACTGTTCCAGAGCAAGAGATTTAAGAGACATAACAGCCAAATACAGTGCAAAACTCTTGACTGGATACTGGACTAAAAACCATTAAAAACAGCTCTAAATTCACTGGGGAAATCTGCAGTTACAAACAACCCTAGGTTTTAGTGGTTTGTAAA